ACCCCAAGCCCTAAACCCCAAGCCCCAAACCCTAAACCCTAAACCCCGAGCCCTAAACCCCAAGCCCTAAACCCTAAACCCTAAACCCTAAACCCCCAAGCCCTACATCGTACTCGTAGCCCCGAAATCCTCCGCACCCTGCGACATCTGCAGCCCGACTTAAGAGCCATGAGTCGAATCTTAAGGTTCTAGGGTTTGGAGCCTAGGTTCCCCAGTAGTACCCTTTTGCCCTTTTTGGTTTGGGGTCTCCTTACTTCTTATTAAGGGGTTACTGGAGAACCTAGTTAAGGTTCTAGGGTTTGGAGCTCAGAAAACATTTAGGGTTTAGGGTTGGGTTCAGGGACATGCAGGGTTTAGGATATAAGTAACCTTTAGTATTTAGATGTTTGGGGTTTCAAATTTAGTCTGTTTCATGGTTCTAGCTCGAAACCTTAAGCTCAGACCCCCAGAGCCTGCTTCTGTTTAAGTTTGCTGGACTGCGTGTCCTGCATGTTGTTGATGCCTTGTCTTAGGGCTGGGAATCGACATGAAAGCAAGTTTAGGGTTTAGGGTTTAGGGTTCACCTTCCCTGCAAAGAATTGCCAGCCGCCGTTCTACATGGCCTGTGCAGAAGAGGCTCTGCGGCATCGGCATTGTGTCTGTTCGTCCTTGTCTGGGACCCTCTGACTATGATTCGATTTCTGCTGCGACCATGGTGCCCCTGCTGCTGCCGCTACAGCTCCTGCTGCTGCTGCTGCTCCTATTACCGATGCCACTGTTCCTCCTCTTCCTCCGCCTCCTCCTACCCGCTCCGTGAGTTCTATTGTGTGTATTCTCAGGGTCCTTGGTATCTCCATGGTGCACAGTGTCGTTTCCGTACTTATGTTCACTTTGCTATGCTTAGCTGTCACCGCCTTCATTAAACAAGCCGCATCATGCCCAGCTTCAGTAATGTTAGGTTGGCGACCATCGGCATTGGGGTGCATGTGGCCGTTGGCAATGCTCGGTTTTCTCAAAGAAACAATCTCACCACTACCGCCACCACCACCACCACCACCACCACCACCGTCACCGTCACCGTCACCGTCACCACCATCACCATCACATCAACACCGCCACATGCCACCGCTGCCATCATCATCACGGTCACCATCATCACCATCATCATCGTCATCATCACCATCAACATGAACAGCAGCGGCAGCAGCAGCAGCAGCATCGCAAGCATAATCAGCAGCAACGGTATCGCCGGTAGCGCCATCACTATCAACAGCAACATGACCACCGTCATCAGCGCTATAATCGCCGCTTTCATCCCCATCACCCTACTGATCAAGCTTCTCAGGGACAGCGTGATCATGGTAATCGCTTGCTGCCAGTTCGCTTGTTCTTCCTGTCCGGCCAGCAAGATACCACACCAGCACAGGTCCAGGTAGCAACGAGAATGATGAAGATTTAGTTGTTGATGATGATGGCTGATGGTGGCGATGATGGTGATGATGAAGATGAGGAAGAAGATGCTGATGTTGATGTTGGTGATGAAGACGAAGAGTATGCGGAGGAGAAGGAGGAGGAGGACGAGGAGCCGGACGAGCACGAGGATCATGACGATGATGATATTGATGATGATATGATGTCGATTGGTAAATATGATGGCGATAGCGATGATGCCGTGTTCACCGATGTTGGTGATGCTGCTGATGATGACAGTGGTGCTGCTGCTGATGATGATGGTGATGATGGTGATGGTGATGGTGATGATGGTGATGATGATGATGATGATGATGGTGGTGGTGGTGATGGTGATGGTGATGTCGATGGTGATGGCTGTTGTTGATGATGATGAAAATGTTGATGATGATGATGATGATGATGATGATGATGATGTTGATGATGATGATGATAGTGACGGTGATGGTGATGGTGATGATGATGATGATGATGATGATGATGCTGATGATGATGACGATGACGATGATGATGACGATGATTAAGAAGACGATGATGGTGATGATGGTGGTGGTAATGTTGCTGATGCGGATGATGATGATGATGATGATGATGATGATGATGATAATCATGGTCAATGATGATAATGATGAAGACGATGAAAACGATGATGACGATGATGATGATGATGGTGACGACAAGCATCACCATCCACATCAGCATCGCCAGTAGCAGCATGATCGCTGTTGTTGTCCATAGTTTCTTTCTTCTTCCAGTACTTTCTCCAGTTCCCCTGCTTCCAAATGGCATCCAGTTCCTACGTGGGCTCCTGAGGAAGGCCATGTGCCCCAGTATAAAGTTCAACTAAACCAGCTTTCGAAGATCAGTGAGCTGAAGCCTTAGCGAGGAAACCCAAAAAAGTTCTGTCACCCTGAACCCTCAGCAAAAGCAACCTGGACCCGAAGCCTAGCTACTCTTACTTACCGATGCTGAGAACTGAAATGCTCCATGCTAAGTACCTTGAGCCCAGCAGGTGCCAGACGACAAGAAGGAGGGACAGACACGGGCCTGCAACAAGAAGGTTGCGTTTGGGGCCTAGGGTCTCCGGAACACTAAATCCTAAACGGCTGGTTGGGTTTGATGTTTGGGGGGCTTGGGGTTCTTGGCATAGGTCTTGCTTGAGTTTAGGCTCAGTTACTGTTTAGGGACATTCCACCTCGCTTGCGGGTACTCCGAGTCCTGCGCCGACGAAAGACGTACTAGCGCGACCAAACTTTCATCCCGCTGACATATTCACGGTTTAGGGTGTAGGGTGTAGGGGATAGTAGTGAACATAGTAGTGATCACCTAGGCATGGCAGCTCGTTGGCATTTCATGTCCGACCGGAAACACATCCTTTGCCGTGCGATGGTTCACTTTGCATGCCAATTAATTACATCTGCCGCAGTCTACAACATAGGCTTCATTCCTTCTCAGCGTGGGCTAGATCATACACCCGATTGGCTTTCATACCCCACCAAAACCGATCCGAACCCCTCCAACCCGACCGTAAGCCACTGTAAGCCCTAAAGAGAGGGCTTCTTCCTACCTGGAGCTACGTAAGAACATAACTGGCCCCCCACATCTTCGGTGGGTTTGAATCTGCTGCCACGGTTCAGGGTTTAGGCTTTACGGCTTACCCTAACCCCTAATATCCTACCTTTTATGAAGACTTGTTTAAGCCCTAATATCCTACTTTTTTTGAAGACCTGTATACAGAACTCATACTACCAAGGAGCCCTAAAAGGGTAGGTTCTCTGAAGCCAGGTAGGGCCGACAACCCTAAACCCCTAAAACCCTAA